CTGAAGCAGACAACTGCTCTTTAATCTCGTCAGTCTCTGTAAAAATAAGCTTCTTAGAATCGAAGTTAAGCCTAGAAATAAAAATCTTTTAAGTCAATATATGTAAAACAGTCTAATCTAACAAGTCTTTAGATTGAAAGTATAAAGTAGAAAAATGAAACATAGAAATTATTTGAATATAAATATATTATGACATTTCTGAACCTCAGAATTAAGTGAGAAATAAAGCTTTCAGGGAAAGAAAAGGGAAAATCCTATATGTTATACCATGAAACAATGACAATCAACTGATATTAGACATAAGTGGAAGCCAAAAGAATAGCATGTTTAAAGCTTTGAGGAGAAAGTATTTTAAACTACTACTTTTACAATTTTCAATTAATTTAGGTATAAAATATATTTATAGATCTCTAAGGATATAGGAAGTTTGTCATAAACCTTATCAACACATTTATAGAGATGGTGATATGGGAAATTAGGAGCTAAATATGTTCCAGGAGGAAAAAAAGGATAAGAAATCTGAAGAAGTATTAATACATATAATGGATATCTCTAAAGCTCTTTTTTTCGGCAAAGATGCTAAGGACAAAATTTCATTTCTTTTTTGGTGAGTTCATAGCTATTGATTCTAGTGTAACATATTTATGGCATCATAATGATGCAAATGCTATTTTTAAGAAGAAAATCCCATGGATGGAGGAGCCTGGTAGGCTACAGTCCAAAGGATCACAAAAAGTCGGACACGACTGAGCAACTTCACTACACTACATAGATCTTACACTTGTACATCCTGGAAATGTGTGACTAGCATTTCTTTCATTCTCTGTCAAGTGACTTTAACTTGGGGGTTCAGTTTTAGGAACCTCTTTTTATTTCCATATACCTAAGCCGTGTTCTAACAGCCGCATCAGTAACAAAGCTGACATTTTGATCTCTTGTTGTCTGACTCCTCTGTTTATCAGCAAATAAATTCTAAACTTTGGCAAAGAACAGAGCTTCTATTTACTGGGTACTAAAACATTAATACCAACAACCAGATTCTAAGTGAAGTTCAGGGAGTTAGGGAGTCAAAGAATATTTATAAATTGAGGTTTTTGGTGAGCTAGGCCATGTACATTTTTGATCTTGCAGTAGCTTCTTTTAAAAGGTGCATTTATTTTATAGAGTTGTGTGGTTGACTTTAACTGGCCATCCTGAGAAAGAAGGTTTAGGGTTTAGTCTAAAACTTTTGCTGGAGAGTTAAGAAAGGGAAATAGGTTCTTGACGGTCGGGATGGAAGGTATAAAAGGGAAGAAGTGAAGTTCTCAGGTCTAGTCTGAGGAATGGCAAAGATATTCAATTGATATTAAATTAGAAAAGATGCTTGCCATCCATTGAAATCAAACAAAGGATGATAGAAAAGACCTCAGATATTAGTGACACATTAAGAAAACTCTGGAGAATCACAATTTTAATATGGAAACATATTGAAAATAATAAATGACTCAATCCTTTAAGATTGGGAGAACTATATCACGAGGCTACAGAAACGCTGGCCCAATTTTAAAGGGGAAGACTAGACAAATTAATGTGAAGTACTCTGAGTATTAATTGGAAGGACTGATGCCGAAGCTGAAGTTTCAATACTTTGACCACCTGATGTGAAGAGCTGACTCACTGGAGAAAACCCTGATGCTGGGAAAGATTGAGGGCAAGAGAATAAGGGAACAGAGGATGAGATGGTTGGATGGCATCATGGATTCAACGGACATGAGTTTGAGCAAACTCTGAGAGATAGTGAAGGACAGGGAAGCCTAACGTGCTGCAGTCCATGGGGTTGCAAAGAGTCAGACACATCTTAGCTACTGAACAACAACAGCTCAAAGAATTACAAGATGAGTTTCAGTTTGACATACATATTACATGTATTCCATGTAAGCCTGCTGAGGAAATTTATGGAATTGAAGCTTTAAAGGCAAGTATAATAAAGATAAGATGTAATAAAAATGAACCAGGCAGAACAACAATAGGTTGACTTTAGACCTTCAGGTTAGATGCTATTCTGAGGGAAGAATAGCACCAGTGTGATAATATACAACTCAGGAAGATAATACTCAACTCAAGAATTTTTAAAACAGTGGATGCTTTAGCAGATCTCATATTCTTGATTTCCTATTTCTCATCATAGGACAATAGCAAGAAATAGAAGAAAAACAAAAGGCTGCACCAGAAAGCAAAGCAAAAGCAGAACAAAGTAGGAACCCAGACCTAGTAAGATGTTTTAATCTATATGACTTTAGTTGCTGGATGGTAAGTGTACCTCAAATTAGACCTTTGTCTGGGACTGCCAACATTGTAAATTTCTGAACTTTACAAGCATTTGGAATATCTTGAATGCTGCTCTCTGATTTTTCTCCCATATGGTTTTTTAAAATGTGTCATAAGTAACTTATTTAAAGATTTCTCTCAATTAAATTTAAATTCACAGATTGTCAATCAGAGATACCTGATATCTTAGTAAAGTTAAAAATAAGATTTTCCAGCTGGGCTATTTCCACAGGGAGACTAATGAAATGAATCTCTGATATGAACTTTGGTAAAGTGATCATAAGTATAAATACTGTGTCCTGGACACATCATTTGGCTTGGTCGTTGGCTAGAATGTAGAAAAACAACTGATGGGAAACCATAGTCATTGCAACCATGTATGTACAGACTATAGTGTTTAAAAATTTGAAATTTTTTTCTCCATTTTTTTGTGTGTGCACTTAAAAAAAAAGCACTTGAATTTTTTTTTCCATCTTGAAAGTAGATATATGAAATTTGAACACAGAGAGTATGATTCATTGAAGCACATTTAAAGAGGATATAGTGTCTTTTAAACAAAGAACATCAGAATTGTTTAAATAAAATTTTAAATGCTTCAGAAAATTTGAGAACATGACCAAAGTTTAATCATGTAATAAGAAATGTGATAGAAGTAAAGTTTGAAACTATATCATTTAAAAATAATTTACCTTGCTTATCTTGTAAAACCCATTACATGAGGACACGTGACCTTAGTAACCCAGAAACCCAGGCATGGCGCCGCAGAAAGCACGGATAAGTGTTAGCACTTCCTTATATGTCTTACAAATACAGGTTGAATATCTATGCTTGTTGGTCTTTTGCTATGAGATGGTCAATAATAAGAGAGATGCTTCGGTCTTTTCACTAATTAGCAACAGTTTGCCTTGTTGTATCCATTTTAACTCAAATACTATTATTCTATAGGAAATAGTTGTGCTGAGGAATGTTGGCCGTTGTTGTATTATGGTCTGTTCTTAATATTCTTCTTGATCTTCAAGACAAGGATTCTATGTACTACATTTTAAAATTATATTTGCCAAAATGTACTTCAAAATGAAGTAATGAAGTCAAGGACAGGAAGGTCTTCAAACCAAATCCAGAACTTACAATCATTTTCTTACTGTGAGGATACTTAGGATTTAAGAAATAATTCTATAAGATTAATATCAAATCAGTCTAACAGTGTATAAACTTAACAATTCCTAAACTTTGATTCTAAATTGGTGATTTTGTTAAGTCATGGTATAACTGGAATTTTTAACTTCAGTAGCTGTTAAAATTGACACTTAACTTGGTCTTATAAACAGCAAATGAATTATGTGAGGCATTGCCTCCATATCGCCTTATATGTAAGATGAAAACTGGCCAGATTGCCATTATTTTTAAATATTTCATTGTGGAAGAAATGAGAATTAACTTTTAAGGGAAATAAACTAAGTGCATTAACCAGGCTAAGGTTTGATTATTATTACTACTTTAGACTTAAAGCAATCTCAAATAAATAACACTGGAAATCCTTTAGACTTCAAATAAATTTAATATTTAAATATATACTTTGAGTGACCAGTAATTAAAAAGGTAATACTTGTTAGTATGGAATGTGATTGAGCATTTAATTGTATTCAAGAAAGAATGCTTTCAAGGTCACTTCTTTTTTCTGTATAGCATTTCTACTAAATTTAGATATAGAATTAATTTTAGTAAGTAGAAAGTTAATGCAACAGTTATACTAGTGGATTCTTCTATAACTTTTAAATACATTTTTCTTCATTATTAGCAAACATCTGCAAAGCAAGTGAGAAGGGAAAATATGAGGTAAATTAATTAGCACAGTATAGCGACATGCACGTCAATTATAACAATGACTAGGACGATCAACATACTTTCATAGGAAAGAAGGCAAATATGAAAATTACAAGCCTAACATAATAAATATTTGAGAGGGAAGAAAAGGAATAACCAGCCAATAGATCCTGTAATAAAGAGAAAGTATTTGGATTTTAAACAACATGGTCTAAAGGTGCTATTTCATCACTGAAAATGTTACTATGCATTTTAAAAATATGTTATATATAGACCCACTTGTGTCTAACAGCTGCTGAGACTCCAAAATTGCCAATTTTGCAAGTTCATTTAAATGTTCCATATTATATGTGAATGAAAAAATATACTATCAGTTTCCTGACAGATGCAAAACAATCTGCTGTGATTCTAAAATAAGTTTACATTCAATCAGTCAGAGAAACAGTCTCCTTTTAAATACTCTATTTTAAGAGGCGGTTCTTTAATTGTCATGAGAGGAAATACAAAGTTGGATGGTATAATCTCCATTTTATCATACCAGTTCAGGACTGAATTCAACTCCAAATGGAATATTACATTATTTATAAGGCTACATTTAAATATTTTAAATATCTTTGAGTTTTGAAATAAAAGCTTTGATCTCTTAAAAAAAAACTGTTTATTTATATTAGGGGCCAAAATTGTTTAATAGTTAGCTGATTATAACCATCACACTGGAGCACCAAAGAGTTTCAGGGAATACCAGGATAACACTGGCCTCAGTCTACTGTTTTGTTTCCAATTACTATGTTTTTTTAATTCCCCACAAACAATGATACGAAGCAAATAACAGTTAGAAAGAGAAGGGGAAATAAAATCTCCAAACCTACTTTTTCTTCAGTCTTCTATCCTTCTCAGCTTGAGTTCCCAGTTTGCCCAACGCCAGGGACTCCTGGGTTGCCGCTTCGGTCTCCATAAAGCCTCCTGGGAAGAAGTAACCACACATATTAGGTTGGACACATTGTGTCAATTCTGAAATTACATTTTTTAAAGTTTATTTGAACAACTGTTTAGTATCACCTTTTTTTTTTCTTTTTTGGCTGGACATGAGTTTGAGTAAACTCCGGGAGTTGGTGATGGACAGGGAGGCCTGGCATGCTATGACTCATGGGGTCGCAAAGAGTCGGACACGACTGAGCGACTGAACTGAACTGAACTGAACTGTATTTCCAACTCAATATGCATTCAATGGCATGGGTATACACATAAACACACACGGAGAGAATGAGGGGAAAAAGTACCTATAAAAAAAAAAGGTAGGCCATTCAATCACAACTAGTAGCAACTAATACATGTGGCCTGTACACTGAAAAACACTTAAATATATAGTCTGCAAGCTTCGAGGTTTGTTTTTCTACTTTTCTTATGAAAAATGAAAAAAAACTGTGCAGTGTGTGAGGTTTTTTTTCACTGTTTGAAATATTTGAAATTTTTCATGTATGATGGAATAAATGATAGCCCAATGCACAGAAACTCAAGTGTATGTCTTCTGTTCCAAATTGAGAGAATGGAGAGATATTTGCTAAGTTAAAACTTTTTGTCTTTTGCTCTAGAACACTCCTCTGCTCACCTGGCTGACTTCTATATCCTTCAGTACAAACCTGACTTTCAGAGCTTACTATGTTCTGGAAGGCTTTGCTTTGTTTTGTAATTTTAATCAAATACCTGAAAAAAATTCTAAATCTTTCTTCAAAAGAGCCTAGTAAGAATTGTTTTTACCAAGCAGTTCATAAACTATTTGATGTAGTGTCAGTTTCATTTGGCTTTAGGATATATATGATATATTTATATAACTTTGGAATAAGAGGAGAATGTAAGTGTGTTGGGCATTGAACAATTTTACAAAGCAATTACTTAGCAACAGGGATCAAGTCCATCCCCATGGAAAAGAAATGCAAAAAGGCAAAATGGTTGTCTCAGGAGGCCTTACAAAAAGCTGTGAAAAGAAGAGAAGTGAAAAGCAAAGGAGAAAAGGAAAGATCTTCCTATTTGAATGCAGAGTTTCAAAGAATAGCCAGGAGAGATAAGAAAGCCTTCCTCAGAGATCGATGCAAAGAAATAGAGGAAAACAACAGAATTGGAAAAATTAGAGATCTCTTCAAGAAAATTAGAGATACCAAGGGAACATTTCAGGCAAAGATGGGTTCGATAAAGGACAGAAATGGTATGGACCTAAGGGAAGCAGAAGATATTAAGAAGAGGTAGCAAGAATACACAGAAGAGCTGTACAAAAAAGATCTTCACGAGCCAGACAATCACAATGGTGTGATCACTCACCTAGAGTCAGACATCCTGGAATGTGAACTCAAGTGGGCCTTAGAAAGCATCACTACGAACAAAGCTAGTGGATGTGATGGAATTCCAGTTGAGCTATTTCAAATCCTGAAAGATGATGTTGTGAAAGTGCTGCACTCAACATGCCAGCAAATTTGGAAAACTCAGCAGTGGCCACAGGCCTGGAAAAGGTCAGTTTTCATTCCAATCCCTAAGAAAGGCAATGCCAAAGAATGCTCAAACTACCACACAATTGCACTCATCTCACACGCTAGTAAAGTAATGCTGAAAATTCTCCAAGCCAGGATTCAGCAATACATGAATCGTGAACTTCCAGATGTTCAAGCTGGTTTTAGAAAAGGCAGAGGGACCAGAGATCAAATTGCCAATATCTGCTGGATCATCGAAAAAGCAAGAGCGTTCCAGAAAAACATCTATTTCTGCTTTATTGACTACACCAAAGCCTTCGACTGTGTGGATCACAATAAACTATGGAAAATTCTGAAAGAGATGAGAATATCAGACCACCTGACCTGCCTCTTGAGAAACCTGTATGCAGGTCAGGAAGCAACAGTTAGAACTGGACATGGAACAACAGACTGGTTCCAAATAGGAAAAGGAGTACGTCAAGGCTGTATATTGTCACCTGCTTATTTAACTTGTATGCAGAGTACATCATGAGAAACGCTGGGCTGGAAGAAGCACAAGCTGGAATCAAAGATTGCCGGGTGAAATATCAATAACCTCAGATGTGCAGATGACACCACCCTTATGCAGAAAGTGAGGAGGAACTAAAAAGCCTCTTGATGAAAGTGAAAGAGGAGAGTGAAAAAGTTGGCTTAAAGCTTAACATTCAGAAAACTAAGATCATGACATCTGGTCCCATCATTTCATGGGAAATAGATGAGGAGACAGTGGAAACAGTGTCAGATTTTATTTTTTTGGGCTCCAAAATCAATGCAGATGGTGACTGCAGCCATGAAATTAAAAGATGCTTACTCCTTGGAAGGAAAGTTATGACCAACCTAGATAGCATATTAAAAAGCAGAGACATTACTTTGCCAACAAAGGTCCGTCTGGTCAAGGCTATGGTTTTTCCAGTGGTCATGTATGGATGTGAGAGTTGGACTGTGAAGAAAGCTGAGCGTTGAAAAAATTGATGCTTTTGAACTGTGGTGTTGGAGAAGACTCTTGAGAGTCCCTTGGACTGCAAGGAGATCCAACCAGTCCATCCTAAGGAGATCAGTCCTGACTATTCATTGGGAGCACTGATGCTAAAGCTGAAACTGCAATACTTTGGCCACCTGATGAGAAGAGCTCACTCATTTGAAAAGACCCTGATGCTGGGAGGAATTAGGGGCAGGAGGAGAAGGGGATGACAGAGGATGAGATGGCTGGATGGCATCTCCGACTCGATGGGCATGAGTTTGAGTAAACTCCGGGAATTGGTGATGGACAGGGAGGCCTGGCATGCTGTGATTCATGGGGTCGCAAAGAGTCGGACACGACTGAGCGACTGAACTGAACTGAACTGAACATATCATTGTTCATAGATTATCTGTTTTAATTGAAAAATGAAAACTTAAACCTGGGCTCTGTTTTCCCTCTGCTATTCACTGTGTGGAAAACATTAAGTCAAGGTAAATGAAAAATGCTCGTTATTTTTAAGTGGGTTAAGGTATACATATGCTTTTAATTAAGAGATTTAAATTCCATTTAAGCTCAAGATTACGTAGAGAGATTTAAACTAATACTCTTACAAAGACCACACAAAAACATTCACCAATATATCAGTATGTACCATGAAAGATAATTTTGCTGTAATTGTTTTTCATAATTTATTTTAGAAAATAATTTAACTACTCAATACTATTAGTTCTGGAACATTGTCATAAATAAGTTAATCTTATAGCCTAGTTATTCTGTTACTGAACTGGATAATTACAAGAAAGTCATCTTTAATTGAAAACATATCGATTGCTATCTAGATCTTACTCAGGGATTCAGAGTTAAAGGAATGAAATTAACTTTATTCAATTATGCACATAAGCAATTAAAACTTAAAGAACTTTATATTGTGAATGATTTTCATTATTGGTATCATTAGGGAAATCATCTCCTTGTTGACTAAAGTACTCTTAGGGCATATTTTCAAATGTGGAAATTTCCACTATGCAGAATGAGTGAATATTTTCATTTTATTTTTCTCATTGGTATCCTTGCCCTACTGTACATCCATAAATTACTATTCACCATATGCAATTAACAATAAAATTGCTCTCTGGAAATATAAATGGAAATGAATAGTGATTCACTTAAAAGTCACAAAATTCTTCATCAGTCCAGATGGGGACACAGAGATTGATGAGTAGACATATTTCATAAACAATGAGATATTCTCAACCATTATGTGGTTGGATAAATCAGGCCTTTTATTCTTCTGAGGAGAGAACATGTAAATTATGATTTAAATTTTTTACATTTTAATTAGAGAAAAGAACATTTTAAAAAGTTTAATGCTCTGGAAGAGAAACAAAGAGAGCCCTAGAGGAATTTTGAGAGTCCATACTAGATCCAGAAAAAAAATAGTAGACTTTTCTTCTCACAAATACAATTCTAAAAGTAAAAGGCATGAGGGGCTTGGAAATACTCTGATCACTTCAAAATCTAATATCCTTTAAAGAAATCTGATAAAGAATTGTTGCTACATCATGTTTGAAAATGCCAATAGAAAATGACACATAAGTCACAGGAGGCAAAATTAGTTTTAAGTGGCATGGGCTATACTCTCAAGCAGGAACAAAAGTCTACTTATGTGCACTTTTAAGCCCAAATAAAAACATTTATAGATGAGAAAAACATTCTTTCATAGCACTGATCCAGGAGTCCTATAAATCTAAGGTTCATCTCTCCAACCATCTGACCTGCTAACCGTAGGGTAACCTTAGCCAAACCTTCTAATGAACTCGTTTACTCTATGAATGATTATATAAATCTGGTGAGAGTCTGTTTCAGTTTTTCCTGGGCATCAGTGGGCTCTCATGGCCATGTGGACTTTAGGAATATCTATTTATCTAGATCTGTGTTTTATTCATTTATCACATATAGCTATTGAATACTTGAAATATGGCTGGTCCAAATTAAGAGCTCTGAGTATAAATTATGCACAAGATTTTGAAAACATAGTGCAAAAAAGAAAATAATATATCTACTTAATAATTTTATATTGATGTCTAGTCAAGGCTATGGTTTTTCCAGTAGTTATGTACGGGTGTACGGATGTGAGAAGTGGACTATAAAAAAACTGAGTGCCAAATAATTGATGCTTTTGAACTGTGGTGTTGGAGAAGACTCTTGAGAGTCCCTTGGACTGCAAGGAGATCCAACCAGTCCATCCTAAAGGAGATCAGTCCTGGGTGTTCATTGGAAGGACTGATGTTGAAGCTGAAACTCCAGAGTTTGGCCACCTGATGTGAAGAGCTGACTCATTGGAAAAGACCCTGATGCTGGGAAAGATTGAAGGCGGGAGGAGAAGGGGACAACAGAGGATGAGATGGTTGGATGGCATCACCAACTCAATGGACATGGGTTTGGGTAAACTCCGGCAGTTGGTGATAGACAGGGAGGCCTGCTGTGCTGCATTTCATGGG